AAAGAAACAGATCCCGTAGCAATAAAAGGACCATAATCTGCCGGATACCCCACGTACTCATCTACGTTTTGATTTTTCACTCTGACAGGGATACCCCCAATGCACAATCTTTCACTACAAGTATAACCTGACACAAGTCCAACAGGTTTAGTAATGGACTTATACTTGCCTTTCAACACTGGATTCTATTTTCCAGTGACCCTTTTCCAGGCAGTGCCTAAGAGGAATTTGGATCTATTTTCCTATTAGGCCTATACTCTACCTTCGACATCGGTTGGTCTAGATGTTCATAGTTGCGCTCTTTTTGATAACCGCTGAAATTTATGAATCAACAAATTCGTCAGCTAAAACCACTGCTTCAGCCGCTGTTCTCACCTTTTGTTTGTTTGTGTACGTCGCAATCCGTTCAGGAATAATATTTCTGAACTGCTCCAAAATTACCAAGTCACAAAGACTCTCAAAAGAATCTACTCCTAACGAAGCACACCAACGATTAAAGTGACATGTGGAAGTTGCGCGAGAGCTCACAAAAGTTTCTCTCCATTTCTCCATCCCCTAAACCAGCGACGGTAAGCTTTTAACAAGTTTCATAAGCTTTTAAAACGGAGTCCTTAACGATCTTATAATCCCTTCGATCTGCTGGTAAGAGTGAAATAAATGCTTCTTGAGCTTTACCCTCCAAAACGCTTCATAATAAAAGAGTACATTCGGCATAATTCCAACCTTGATCATCAGCAACACTTTCAAACAAAAAAGAAAGCGTCAAGATTTTTTTTCGTTAAACTTAGGCAATAACTTGGTCATATTCGCAATATTCAAAGCGGTGTTCGCAATCAACTGCTCACCCGAGGAATCAGCACTAATACTACCTATTTTTCCCTCGCCAATCAGTCTTAAACATTCTGCCTCCTGAGCTAATTTAGCTTCCTGAATTTTTGTTCACACTTAAACTTCTCAAATTGCCGTGCACGCTCTCGTTCTTGAACCCACATTTTTTCTAATTCAAGCGGTCTATCGAATTCTCGCTCCTTACTTTCCAGATTTAAGATTTCTAGCTGTTGCTCTAAAGTTACCCCACTCTGTACTCCCATCATAACAAGTGGAGTTGAAGTACCTTCTGGTGACAACACTTCCGATTGTGTATCTACAGTTAAAATCATTCTCTCTACTAATTTCTCTTTTACAAGATCATAAACGGTTTTTAAATTTTATTTTTGATTTCCCCTACCTCAATTAAAATGCTCAACTACTTCACTCAATTGAGCTTTTGTAAGTCCATTCAATTTCTTTACAGTAGGAGCAGCCAAACAATCCTGTAACATCCATTTTATCTAAACTTCACTATAATAAATTATTTTCTCAAAGCCAAAATGAATAAATTAAATTGCCATTCTCACTTACCAAGTCCCCTTAAATGCACAGACCAAAGCCAAATAGACAGCACTATAATGCCAGAAGAAATTAAGAGCCGTCCCGTATCTAACTAAGAAATCAACTAAATAAACTCAACCCTAGTCTTCAGTACGCCCACATGCAGCTCAACGGCTAATCCATCTACCCGCATCCGATGTACCAAAAACAACAAACTAACATAACAAAAATTAAAAAAAAACAGCATTACCGCTCTTCAGCCTAACACGGGAGTTCACGTGGCTCTGACGGTCTAACCCGTCTCACTTACATTGCTTGGCAATTTGAGCACAAGTCTCACTTACCTCTGGTCATGCAAAAAAAACGTAATCCACCATCAAAGCCTCAATTCCTTGATTGAAGAACAATTCTTTCCTCTACAGTCCCAGCAAAATTATCCAAATAAAAAAATTTCAATATGGCATTACGCAAACTCTCCCCAAAAATAATCAAAATATCACATTTTAATCAAACTCATTCAATTCTCTCAAAACTTACTGAGCTTATAGATGAGCCCCCATGATGTTACAACCACCTGGCTCTGGGTAAAGTAACATTACCAAAAGGGGAGGCCACACAGAAGACTTAAGTTTAACAAATAAACATTTAAGCAAGAATAAATCAAATAATACAAAAGTTAAGTATAAAGAAAGAAACAAAAAAAAACAATCCAGGGCTGGAGCGGGAAGATGAACGGCAGCCCAGTCCAGGTCTCCACTGCTCTCTGAATCTCCGTCTTTTAAACCCAAACGCCAAATCACAGGTAACACTCCACACCTGTACCTGACGCTCACTCTGAAGGAGAGGCAAAACCACTGAACACCACCACCTAGTGGACAAATATTAGAAAGAACACACTGAGCTGTAACAGATGTGTATGTAAGACTGGGGGGAAAACTGTGTGCTTTTAAAGAATGTACTGTGAAAATGTTTTATTGTTTATTTTTAGAGATGTGGTTTTTAAGAAACCTGCTGTAAACGAATACTGGCTATGGATTTTCAATGATGTAAAAGAAGAGAATATATGGGGGAACATAAATGGAAAAATTGTACAGACGAAATTGGAGAATTTGGAGTATTTTATCAGGAACAAAGCAGTGTTCACAGATGTGATTTTAAACAAAATCGGGATGGAGGAAAGTGCCACATGTAAAGTATGCCAGGATGCAGACGAAGGGTTTTTACACTTGTTTTTATATTGTAATGAGCTGAAATATTTTAATGAGAGATGTAAAAACATGATTTTAATTTTGAGAGGAGAGGGAAATGGGAACTTTGAGTGGGAAAATGTGTTGATGTTAGGCATTAATGAGAAATGTAAAAATAAAAAGCTCATTAATTTACTTGTGATGTTGATGAAAAGTGCAGTATGGGAAAGAAGGGTGGTGGTAAAAAAGGAAAATGTTTTACTTGATGTGTGGAATGTGTTTAAGAGAAAAGTTGAGAAATATGTTGAATGTCTGTTTTATTATTTTAAGTTTGAGGAAATGATGGATGTTTTTAAATATGTTTTTACTCAGGAGGTCTTAAAGGTTTTAAATGACTTGGGGATGGAATTATCATTTTTAAAAGATTAGACCATTTAATGACTCTTTTTTTTAAATGTTTGTAAGTAAGATGTCTGTAAACTCTTAATTTTAGGAGTTTTTATGTCAAAGAAAGCATCTTGTGTATTTTAATATGTTACATAATTAGGGGCCAAGCCCAAAAGGCTGTAGCCCCTTTTGTATCTGTATGTTTTATTAGGGGCCAAGCCCAATTAAAATCAATTGTGCTGTTGTGTAAAATGCTAAGTCACACTTTTGTGAGATCATTCTCCCACCTTAACCCTTCTTCTGCAGCATGCTGAGTGTGCATCAACTGAGTGGTGCACTCTGCTAAGCCTCTGGCACTGAACATCTTAGGTTGTCGGTTCAAATCCAGGGTGGCTAATGTTGCTTCTGTTCCAGACATTTAATTTTCCGTGTGTTCGTATTGAATCAGAAGTGTGTTTTTCGTCATTCTCATCTGAACTTCTGTACGTTTTTGAACTTCTGTACTTCTGAACCTATCTGTTCTTCTTTATGTACGTTCCATTTCTGCCGTTTTTGCTCTTCCCACTCTGCGCTGCGCTACAGCCCTTCTCGGGCTTGGCCCCGGAATCGCTGCTTGCAGCTATATTTAGGGGCCAAGCCCAAAGGGCTGTAGCCCCTATTGTATCTGTATGTTTTATTATTATTATTATTATTCTTGGCTAATGGGGTTCTATGGCAGCCCTATGAACGGAACGTAGGAAAATGATGAAATTTGACACACTTGTAGTGATGGCCATGAATAGTGATCTGACCAACTTTGGGGTCTCTGGAACAAACTCTATAGCGCCACCACTACTTCATAAATTCAACATTGAAATGGTAATAACTCCTGAGGCCAAACAAGAGAAAGATGTGTATGTAAGACTGGGGGAAAACTGTGTGCTTTTAAAGAATGTACTGTGAAAATGTTTTATTTTTTTAGACGAATTTTGTAAACGAATACTGGCAACGGATTTTCAATGATGTAAGAGAAGAGAATATATGGGGGAACATAAATGGAAAAATTGTACAGACGAAACTGGAGAATTTGGAGTATTTTATCAGGAACAAAGCAGTGTTCACAGATGTGATTTTAAACAAAATTGGGATGGAAGAGATTGCCACATGTAAAGTATGCCAGGATGCAGACGAAGGGTTTTTACACTTGTTTTTATATTGTAATGAGCTGAAAGATTTTAATGAGAGATGTAAAAGCATGATTTTAATTTTGAGAGGAGAAGAAAATGGGAACTTTGAGTGGGAAAAGGTGTTAATGTTAGGCATTAATGAGAAATGTAAAAATAAAAAGCTCATTAATTTACTTGTGATGTTGATGAAAAGTGCAGTATGGGATAGAAGGGTGGTGGTAAAATAGGAAAATGTTTTACTTGATGTGTGGAATGTGTTTAATAGAAAAGTTGAGAAATATGTTGAATGCCTGTTTTATTTTTTTAAGTTTGAGGAAATTATAGATGTTTTTTATTGTGCTTTTACTCAGGAGGTCTTAAAGGTAAAGACTTGGGGATTGAATTGTCATTTTTAAAAGATTAAACCATTTAATGACTCCTTTTTAAAATGTTTGTAAATAAGATGTCTGTAAACTCTTAATTTTAGGAGTTTTATGTCAAAGAAATCATCGTATGTATTTTAATGTTTTAAATAATTGATATGTATGTTTGAATTGATACATTTCTTCAATAAAAAAAAAAAAATCTGTGTCTGATCTCAGAAGCTAAGTAGGGTCGGGCCTGGTTAGTGCTTGGATGGGAGACCGCCTTGGAAATCCAGGTGCTGTAAGCTTTAATGTTTTCTTCACTACTTATCTAATTCACTGGCCAATAGAGTGGCTGATCTTTAAATAGCTCACTCTTTGTGGCAGTCTTCGCTTACGGACATACCACCCTGTCTGCGCCCGATCTTGTCTGATCTCAGAAGCTAAGCAGGGTCGGGCCTGGTTAGTGCTTGGATGGGAGACCGCCTGGGATGACCAGGTGCTTTAACGTTTTCTTCACTACTTATCTAAAACACTGGCCTATAGAGTGGCTGATCTTTTAATAGCTCACTCTTTGTGGCAGTCCTTGCATATGGTCATACCACCCTGTCTGCACCTGAGGGCGCTAGTGGTGACAGGAAGCGGTAGAGCAAGAGAAGCAAGGCGGAAGGAGTGTTTTTTTCTCACACTGTTTGGAAAATTGTTGCGAAGGAGTGTGTGAAGTCTGGGTTTGTTGAATCCTCAAACAGCGCATGCTGTGGGAGGATAGACACTTCTAGCAGCAAAGAAGGAGAAATGGTTGGACAACTGGAGAAGGGAAGAGAGCAAAACATGTGGAGAGGTGCCGAGCGCAGTTATGACAAAGAGCTTACAGTGCTGGTGGAGCTGGAAGGGGAGGATAGAATCACAATGATGGAATTGTTGAAGAACTGACATTGCGGATGGGACAAGGTTTTTGAAAGTTAAGTTCAACAATGTCGTCAAATCGTTGCCTTACTCAACGAAGTTTGAGACGCTCAGTGGGACTGAACACTTCAGGGTTATACACGATAGACAAGTCAAGGTTTGCCGTCTGTGTATACAACCGGGCCATGTTGTGAGGGAATGCCCGAGCTTTAGGTGTTTTAGATGCGACAAACAAGGACACTATGCAAGAGAGTGCAAGGAGGCGAATTGCGGCATGTGTGGAATGCGGCCAGGACTCTGCGTTTGTGAAACGCCGGCAGAGATGGAAAAGGCTAACAGTGAGGAGGAAGTGTCGGATCTATACGAGGTGGAGGACAGCGGAGATGATGAGAGTGGAAATGCAGAAGGAGAGGAGAGTCAAATCGCCGGGGGAAAGGAAGACGCAGCGATGACAGGGGAAGACATCGGAAGGGAGAACAGCCGAGGTGAGGTAGGCATAGGGCAGCGGATGAGAGAGAGAAAGAAGAAAGAGAGCATACCAGGTGAAGAGATGGATCCTAAAGACCTGGAGTGTGAAGATGGAGACGGGAAGAAGGATAGAAATAGTGAAGATGAAGGTGAGAATGCAGAAGGTAAGGGAGATGAACAGTGGGGGGGAAAAAAGAATGAAGAAAGACGAGGTGGAGGAAAGGAGAAAGAAGTGCTAGAGAATCCTGTGGTAAATGCGGAGGAGGACATGGACATGGGTGAGGGGAAGAGTATGCTGAAGAAAAGAAAGAAGAAAAGTGGGGAGAAGCACAAGGAAGAAAGTAAGAGCTAGATTTAATTTGAATGGGTATAAATATTATTTAAAAATGTGACAATCATTATGTGGGGTGGTTTGCACATTGCGAGTCTAAACAGTAATGGGTTAAGAGACCTAAATAAGTTCGAGAGGGTGAAGAGAGTGTTAAAAGCTGATGTGCTGTGCTTACAAGAGACGCACTGGACAGGGGACATAATGGATAATATAACTTTAGGTGTTTTAGATGTGACAAACAAGGACACTATGCAAGAGAGTGCAAGGAGGCGAATTGCGGCATGTGTGGAATGCGGCCAGGACTCTGCGTGTGTGAAACGCCGGCAGAGATGGAAAAGGCTAACAGCGAGGAGGAAGTGTCGGATCTATACGAGGTGGAGGAGAGCGGAGATCCGATGAGTGGAAATGCAGAAGGAGAGGAGAGTCAAATCGCCGGGGGAAAGGAAGACGCAGCGATGACATGGGAAGACATTGGAAGGGAGAACAGTCGAGGGGAGGTAGACATAGGGCAGCGGATGAGAGAAAGAAAGAAGAAAGAGAGCATACCAGGTGAAGAGATGGATCCTAAAGACCTGGAGTGTGAAGATGGAGACGGGAAGAAGGTTAGAAATAGAGAAGATGAAGGTGAGAATGCTGAAGGTAAGGGAGATGAGCAGTGGGGGGGAAAAAGAATGAAGAAAGACGAGGGGGGAGGAAAGGAGAAAGAAGTGCTAGAGAATCCTGTGGTAAATGCGGAGGAGGACATGGACATGGGTGAGGGGAAGAGTATGCTGAAGAAAAGAAAGAAGAAAAGTGGGGAGAAGCACAAGGAAGAAAGTAAGAGCTAGATTTAATTTGAATGGGTATAAATATTATTTAAAAATGTGACAATCATTATGTGGGGTGGTTTGCACATTGCGAGTCTAAACAGTAATGGGTTAAGAGACCTAAATAAGTTCGAGAGGGTGAAGAGAGTGTTAAAAGCTGATGTGCTGTGCTTACAAGAGACGCACTGGACAGGGGACATAATGGATAATATAAAAAAGATATGGGAGGGAGAAATTTACGTGAGTCACGGGAACGCAAATGCTTGTGGAGTGGCTATTTTGATAAAAGGAGAAAGTGTGCAAGATGTGAAACAGATTTATAAAGATGGAAGTGGGAGATTGTTAGGGCTTGAATTTATGTTTTGCAATGAACTGTTTAGGCTTATAAACATTTATGCACCGAATGTAGAGGTGGACAGAAAATAAGTCTTTAATTAAATGAAGACATTATGTAAAGGAAAGTGTATAGTGGTTGGAGATTAACGTATGGTGTACGAGACTGGACGCTGGACACTTTAAGTAGTGCCAATTTTAAAACTGATGGGTCAAAAAAGATCTTAATGGAGTGGATGTGGAATGAAGATATAGTTGATGTGTGGAGGGAAGAGAATCCACATAAGAGGGAGTTTTCGAGAAGACAAATGGTGATGGGTAACTTGAAACAGAGTCGAATAGATTTATGATTGATGAGAAGAGAAATGTTAAAATATGTGAAATATAGTTTTGTTGGTTTAAGTGATCATGCGGTGATGG